ACTCTTGAACTGGTCAATCAGTTACATTATTTGAACTTTTATTGATTTATTGAATATTATAACTTTAGTTATCTATTCAGTACTTTTTGGCAGAAGTTATGCTGGCCTGAAAAATATGTAAAATTCTTGTAATTTTCAAATTTTTAGTTGCATTATTATTATTATTTTTATTTTCAGGTATATAAAAATTGCTACGGGTCATAAGAAAGAGTTTACCTCAAAAAAGAAACAGAATATTAAAAAATACAAATGATGTAAACAGGTATATAAAATTGCTATGGGTCATAAGAAAGAGTTTACCTCAGAAAAGAAAAAGAATATTGTAAAGGTACAAAATGATGGGAACAGGTATATAAAAATTGCTACGGGTCATAAGAAAGAGTTTACCTCAAAAAAGAAACAGAATATTGTAAAGGTACAAAATAATGGGAACAGGTATATAAAAATTGCTATGGGTCATAAGAAAAATTTGACCTCCAAAAAGGAATAAGATATTTAAAGGTACAAAGTAATGTGAATATATCATTGGAAAATGTGAAAGAGTTGAACACAGATTGAAGAACGACAAAAAAAGGGGACTGAAGATGTTAGCAAGGAAAAAAAAAAAAACAAATGTAGCATTAAGAATGTCACAAAATGAAACTTGAGAAAAATAATAAAAAAAGTGGAATAAGCAAGAAAATTTTTAGAGAATCTGATATTGTGAATGTAAACAAAGAGGAAAAATACAGAATATTAAAAAACAATGGCTAAAGACATGAAAGCAAAGCAGGTTATTACGTTCTGAATAAATATTACAAAAATAAATGTGTAAAGTGAAGATGTACATGAAAACTGATTTCTACAACAGTAATTTTTAGTGATGAATGTAGGCTGAGTTAATGGGGGAATTCTTCATGGAAAGTCATCCAACATGATAAAGAGACAATAAGGGTGTAATGTTTGGACCTTGTATTGTAGACAGCAAAATTATAGGTCCCTTTAAATTTGAAGATTGTATCAAGACAAAAAGCATAGAAATATTGTAAATTCTTTGAAAACATTTTTTTTTGTTTTTGAGTGGCAAAGGTTACAATCAATAAGTATTAAGTTAAAGAGTCTGATCATACCAAGACAATGATCCATTACATACTTCAAAGCTAATTTTGTTAAAAAATGATTTGAAAAATACTAAATTAATAGAATGTGCAATTGCCTCTCCAAACATAAATCAAATAGAAGACTTGTGGTCCATCATTAAAAGAGATGCCTATGAGAATGGAAAACAATATTCAAGCAAAGAAGATCTCTGGGAAGCAATAAAAACTGATGCAAATAATATCGCCCCAGCCTCACCGGATATTAATCCAATAGAAAACTTGTGATCCATCATTAAAAGAGATGCCTATGAGAATGGAAAACAATATTCAAGCAAAGAAGATCTCTGGGAAGCAATAAAAACTGATGCAAGTAATATCGCCCCAGCCTCACCAGATATTAATCCAATAGAAAACTTGTGGTCCATCATTAAAAGAGATGCCTATGAGAATGGAAAACAATATTCAAGTAAGGTGTTTATCAAATATATGTTTCTATAATGCTTATAACTTTAATATTTTGGAAAATTTTGAAACAGAAAAGTAAAAATATAAAATCAATTAGACCAAAAACAAAAATAAAATTGACCTCCAGCCTGAAGATAAATTTTCAAGAAAGGAAAAGATACCATCTTTGATGTTAAAAAATACCACAATTTATATATATGTTGAAATGGTTTGATGTAATTGTAAGTTCCATGTTAACTTCACCCACACTTCTCACTTGTGAAACTGTTCTAGCATCTCATTCAAATTTGATCTTCAAAACTTTAACCACAATATCAATCATTTTCTTTTATCTTCTTAATTCCTGTTCTTTTATTGTTCTCTCTCATTAATAATGTTTTTCTCATATTCTTTCAGACTCAGTAACAATTTGTGCCTTAGTGGGTTTACTGCTTTACTTGGGATAAATTGAAATTGGTCAGACCAAGAGCCTTTTAGCAACCACTTATATATATGGATTTTATTTTTTAATATGACATATTTTTATTCAAGTGGATGCTCTCTTTTACAGTATTTATTTTTACCAGCCTGTATGCCTGAGAAAACTTATTAAAGAAGAAAATGTAACCTCCTGCAGGATCCAAAATAAATACTTTTTAAAATAAAATGGAGTGTCTACTCATATCCACTAAAAATAATGTGTGAAGTAATATATGTAATATGTGTGTGTGTGTGTGTATGCACAAAAATTTCAGATAGAGCATATCTGTAAAAGGACAATATGAATAAAGACAAAAGGTAAACTTAAATTAGCCAATGTGCTTCGTCCTCTGAGAGACTTTATCAAGGCAAATGTGCTTTCATAAAGTCCCTTAGAGGATGAAATGTATCGACTAAGATAAGTTTATTATTCTCTTATACATAAATATATACACACACACTAACATATATATGTATATATATATATATATAAATTGTGAACATTTTATATTTATATTTTATATTTATATACCCTATATAACTGATATTTAACACATAAATATAAATATAGCATACCGTAGCACTATATTTTTATCACATATATATAATTGTGTATTTGGGCAGTAATCTCACTTTTATATAAGTTTCATTAAAGATGGGTGACAAAGTACTGCGATTAAGTTTTTTTTCTCAATTTTCCTTGTGTTGATATAAGTGTTTTCTTTTCTGGACATAAAGTGTGTAAAAACTGTCCAAATGTTCTATATATTCAAGTGCTTTCAGTTACTCTGTTAGTCATTATCAAAGATGTTTTTGTTATTTTTAACTGAATATGTAGTTTTTTATATTTGTATATATATATAGTGATGGGAATGTAAACATGGTCAGCACATTGTGACCATGTTCATAGTTGATATTATTGAGTGTTGGTTTTTTTCTTTTTTATTATTAATACTTCCATTATTTTTAGTCTTTTGTTTTTTACATGTGGATGAAGGTGTTTTAGTCATATTTTTTATGAGTATGTTGCAGACGGAATTTGGCAGGTTTCTGTGTTTTTATATATATATATATATATATATATATATATATATAAAAGTGAACATTGAAGTCAACACTTAGAGACGACAGTCTGTTTAATGTTAGACACAATTGTCAGGCCATATTCAATGTTCACTTTTATATTTACACCCGCTCTATCTCTGATATTGAGCATTTTATCTCATAAATATAGCACACCGTAAGACTATATTTCTTCATATATATATATATATATATATATATATATATATATATAAAATGATTATTGTTTCTAAAAACAAAACAAAAGGTCAACAATTGTATTTCTAGAAAGATAACATTTTTAAAGCAAACAACCTTTGTAATTCTAGTGCTCAATATCATGAGATAGGCCATTAATAGTAATATAGGATATAGAAGAAGGTCTTGCAGATAAACGTATGAGTTAGGGATTTGATGGCTGTGAGTTCAGTCTCTGGGTTAGGCAGTGAAAGTTATATATTCTGGTTCAGTGGCAAAAATAGCATACCAAGAACAAAAATAACTGAAACAAGATATTCTCTAGTATGGATAGTGGAATGAGAAAATCTACTTTCATGGATTGAATAAAGGGTTTAATCTGATAATCTCAGAAGGCTACCAAATACAACAGTCATAGAAAGAAGGCTGGAGAGTATAACAGACAAAAAATGAGGTGAGTCATTGCAAGTCAATAAATCTGTAGCATTTTAGAAGATCAGACCAAAGTTTATAGAATAGATACTAAACAGTTAATCTTCTTTATAGATAAGAAAAACTGTGTCTGTGTTTATATATCCATACATATTAATCTGTTTCCTCCTAGTGTCAGTTTAAACTGATATCTTTTTTCTATATATTCTGAACATTTTGCTAAAAGTTTGTATTTTTTAATTTCACATGAAAACTTCAAAAATATTTCAGTGAAATTTTCACTTCTCAAAATTATAGTTTAGATATAGGTGTAAAAAAAAGATGATGTCAGTTTAAACTGACACCAGACAGATATAGGTTAATATATTACAATAATACAAGTACACACAGTCAAGATTGCTGCTGTTATCTGGACAGATCATGTAATTATAGGAGAAGGATTTTTCCAAGTATTTGCCCACACTCTTCTCTATCAACCATCATGGCATGCTATTGAAGAGAAATCTTTGCTAATATATCATAAAAGAACAAAGTCAAAGAAAAATGGATTCATGCCTTTCTGAAGTACAAAGAAGACTATATGTGTGTGTGTTTGTGTGTGTTGACTGTAAAACTATTGTATAGATTGAATTAAAATTTAGGGTGGTGGGGAGACAATATTTTCAAACCCCAGGGAAAACTTTTTGTATATTGGGACACCAATAATTTATTTAATCATGTAGCATATGACTAAACTTGTCTGATTGATGCTATATTCAACATCTCAACTCCAGAGTTTTGTAGAAAAACCCTTTAGAAATTTTTCACTCCACTCGTCAGGAGGTTTCAGATATATCCTCACATATATTGGATAAATAAATGATTATAATGGCTATGACAAGACAGAGTTACCTGCCCCTTTTTTTTTTTGACTTGCTTGATCTATTCATCTTTAGAATGTATACATTTTGACTCTACTATTGGGGTCAGTTATACAAGGTGATGCTGAAAAGGCTTCCAAAAGAAAATTCTGAAGATTGGTCATTTAATCAGATTATAGGAAATGGACTAAGTTGAGAATTTTTCATCATGCCCTCATATTCCAACTGAAGCAAACAATTTCAGATGCTATAAATGTATTTCCAATGATTTGTATAAAAGCTATTGTATTAAAGTATTTTAAGTATAAACTAAATCAATATAATTGATTTTAAATTATTTTACTAATTATCTCGTTGCAGTTCATATTTTATTGAAATAAAATAAGGCAATTTTTTTCATTTTTTATTAAAAGGTTTCCAAGAGAAAATCTCTTATGCCATGTGCTCATCCATTTGCATATAATGAAATAATAGATATGTGAACAGACAATGATAGACAGAAAGAGAGTGAATGAAAGAGAATTGAAAAAAGAGAGAATGAAAGGTGAGAGTGATTGATACAATATAAGACTGGAGAGAGTTTGACCGAGAAAGAGAATGAATAAATTGACGGAAAGACAATGATTGATAGCAATATATAAGGAGAGACTGAAGAGCAAATGAAGAGACCGAGAGAATGAACAAAATGAAACTGTTTGTGAGGTGAGAGAAGAATGTAGAGGAGAGACTGAATAAGAGAGAATCTTGTGAGGTGGAGAAAGAATGAGAGACTTTGAGAGACTGAAACAAGAATGAAGGAAAGGGAATAGAGGATGACTGAAGAGCAAATGTGAGAAGAGACTGAATGAGAGTGAAGAGGAAGAACTGAGAGAAACTGTTTGTGAGGTGAGATTGAATGAAAGGGAATGAGAGGAGAGACTGAATGAGAGAGAATAGGAAGAACTGAGAGAAACTGTATGTGAGGTGAGATTGAATGAAAGGGAATGAGAGAAGACTGAATGAGAGAGAATAGGAAGAACTGAGAGAAACTGTTTGTGAGGTGAGATTGAATGAAAGGGAATGAGAGGAGAGACTGAATGAGAGAGAATAGGAAGAACTGAGAGAAACTGTATGTGAGGTGAGATTGAATGAAAGGGAATGAGAGGAGAGACTGAATGAGAGAGAATAGGAAGAACTGAGAGAAACTGTTTGTGAGGTGAGATTGAATGAAAGGGAATGAGAGAAGAATGAATGAGAGAGAATAGGAAGAATGAGAGAAGAATAGGAAGAACTGAGATGAGAGAAACTGTTTGTGAGGTGAGATTGAATGAAAGGGGAAGGAGATGAGAGAGAGACTGAATGAGAGAGAATAGGAAGAACTGAGAGAAACTGTTTGTGAGGTGAGATTGAGAATGAAGGGAATGAGAGGAGAGACTGAATGAGAGAGAATAGGAAAACTGAGAGAAACTTTTGTGAGGTGAGATTGAATGAAAGGGAATGAGAGGAGAGACTGAATGAAAGAATAGGAAGAATTGAGAGAAACTGTGAGTGAGGGGTGAGATTGAATGAAAGGGAATGAGAGGAGAGAATGAATGAGAGAGAATAGGAAGAACTGAGAGAAACTGTTTGTGAGGTGAGATTGAATGAAAGGGAATGAGAGGAGAGACTGAATGAGAGAGAATAGGAAGAACTGAGAGAAACTGTTTGAGAGGGAGATTGAATGAAAGGGAAAAGGAAAGAAGACTGAATGAGAGAGAAAAGGAAATAGAACTGAATTGAGAGAAACTGTTTTTGAGATTGAGATGGAAATGAAAGGAAATGAGAGAGAGGAGAGACTGAATGAGAGAGAATAGGGGAAGAACTGAGAGAAAATAGGAAGAACTGAGGAGAATGAAATGAAAGGGAATGAGAGAAGAATGAATGAGAGAGAATAGGAAGAACTGAGAGAAACTGTATGTGAGGTGAGATTGAATGAAAGGGAATGAGAGGAGAGACTGAATGAGAGAGAATAGGAAGAACTGAGAGAAACTGTTTGTGAGGTGAGATTGAATGAAAGGGAATGAGAGGAGAGACTGAATGAGAGAGAATAGGAAGAACTGAGAGAAACTGTATGTGAGGTGAGATTGAATGAAAGGGAATGAGAGAAGAATGAATGAGAGAGAATAGGAAGAACTGAGAGAAATCTAAGATTGAAGAAAGGGAATGAGAGGAGAAAGAGAGAGAACTGAGAGAAACTGTTTGTGAGGTGAGATTGAATGAAAGGGAATGAGAGGAGAGACTGAATGAGAGAGAATAGGAAGAATTGAGAGAAACTGTATGTGAGGTGAGATTGAAATGAAAAAATGAATGAGAGGAGAGGAAGAATGAGAGAAAAAGGGGTGGAAGAAATGAAGACCTGAATGATTTGAAAGGGGTTTGTTGAGATTGAATTTTGAATGAGAGAGAAGGGAATGAAAAGGAGAGGAGACTGTCGCCAATGTTGAATATAAAGAATTGAGAAAAAATTGTTTGAGAGGTGAAGAGGAGATGAAAGGAATAGGAAAGGAGAGAAGGTGAGAGAGAGAAATGAGGAAGAATGAATGAGAGAGAATTGTTTGAGAGGTGAGATTGAATGAAAGGGAATGAGAGGAGAGACTGAATGAGAGAGAATAGGAAGAACTAAGAGAGAAACTGTTTGTGAAGGTGAGATTGAATGAAAGGGAATGAGAGGAGAGAAGAATGAGAAGAAAGGGAAGAACTGAGAGAATTTGTTGAGAGGTGAGATTGAATGAAAGGGAATGAGAGGAGAGACTGAATGATTGAAGAAAGAATAGGAAGAACTGAAGAGAAAAATTGTGAGGTATTTTTGAATGAAAGGGAATGAGAGGAGAGACTGAATGAGAGAATAGGAAGAATGAGAGAAACTGTAAAGAGGTGAGATTGAATGACTGAGAGAGGAGAGACTGAAATGAAGAGAAATAGGGAATGAGAGAATTTAGAAGAGAGAATGAAAGGGAAAGGAAGAGGAGAGAAGAAAGGGAATGAGAGAATTTGTATTGAAGAGAGATTGAATGAGGAAAGGGAATGGGAAGGAGAGAATAGGAAGAAGAGAGAGAAGGTGAATTGAAGAAAAATGAGAGGAACTTTGAAGAATAGAAAGAGGAAGAGAAACTGATTTGAAAGGGATGAAAAAAGAGAAAAGAAAATGAAGAGATTAGGAAAGAAGAGAGAAACGAAAAGGAAGAAGAGATTGAATGAGAGAAGGGAAGAGGAAAAGAAGAGAGAGAATGAAAAAGAGAGAGAGATTAAAGAAGAGAAAAAGAGAAAGAAAGGGAAAGGAGAACTGAATGAGAAATAGGAAGAATTAAGAAAACTGAGATTGAGGTGAGATTGAAGAAAAAAGAGAAGAGAGAATGAGAAAGGAGAAGAGGAATGAGAGAAAATGAAAAGAAAAAGAGAGAGAAACTGAGAGAAATGAGAGAGAGAATGAAAGGGAAGAGAGGAGAAAGAATGAGAGAGAGAAGAAGGAAGAAAGAAGAGAAAATGAAGAGGTGAGATTGAATGAAAGGGAATGAGAGAGAAATGAGAGAAGAGAAGAACTGAGAGAAAAGAGAAGAGGAGAGAAAGAGAATGAAAAAAGGAAATGAGAGGAGAGAAGAGAGAAGAGAATAGGAAGAAAGAGAAAGTGAGGTGAGAGAAGAAAGGGAATGAGAGGAGAAGAATGAGAGAAGAAAAGAAAGAAACTGTATGTGAGGTGAGAATGAGAAGAAAGGAGAGAAAGAAGGAAGAGAGAAGAGAAGAAGTTTATGAAGAGATTGAAAGAATGAAAGGGAAAGAGAGAAGAGACTGGGGAGAGAGAATAGAAGAAGAAAGAGAAAAGAGAGAAAGAAGAGAATTGAAAGAAGAGAAGAGGAGGAGGAGAACTGAAGAAGAGAAGAAAGGAGAGAAAGAAGAAATGAAGAGAAGAGAATAGAAGAGAGAGAAAGAGAAAGAGAAAGGAATTGAGAGAAGAAAGAGAGAAAGAATGAGAGAAGAGAAGAAGAGAAAGAGAGAGAGGAAGAAAGAGAAGAGAGAGAGAAAGAAGAAGAGAAAGAATAGAAAAGGAAGAAAGAGAAGGAGAATGAGAAAGAGAGATGAGAAGGAGAAAAAGAGAAAGAAAGAAGAAAGAGAAGAGGAAGAAAGAGAAAACTGAAAGAAGAAAGAGAAGAAGAGAAAAAGAAAAGAGGAGAGAAGGAAGAGAGAGAGAAGAGAAGAAGAAGAAGAGAAAGAAAAAGAGAGAGAGAAGAGAGAGGAAAGAGAAGAAGAAAAGAGAAGAGAGAGCAAATGAAGAGAGAAAAAGAAAGGCAGAAGAAGAAGAGAAGAGAAGAGAGAGGAAGAGAATGAAAGAGGAAGAAGAGAGAGAGACAAGAGGGAGAAAGAGAAAGAGAAAAAGAGAGAGAGAAGGGAGAAGAGAAGAAGAGAGAGAGAAAAGAGAAAAAGAAGAGAGAGAGAAGAAAGAGAGAGAGAGAGGAGAGAGAAGAGAAAGAGATGTTTGAGAGGAGAGAGAGAGAAAGAGAAAGAGAGAAAAAGAGAAAGAAGAGAGAAAAAGAGAGAGAGAAAGAGAGAGAAAGAGAAAGGAGAAGAGAGAGAATGAGAGAAGAAGAATAAAAAGAAAGAGAAGAGAAAGAGAGAAAGAAAAGAGATGGAGAGAGATTGAATGGAGAGAAGAAAAGAGAAAAAAAAGAAAGAAAGAAAGAGAGAGAGAAAAGAGAGAAGAGAAGAGAGAAAAGGAAAAGAAGAAGAAGAGAAGAAAAGAAAAAGAGAAGAGAGAGAAAGAGAGAAGAAAAAAAAAGAAAGAGAAAGAAAGAGAGAGAGAGAGAGAGAGAGAAAGAGAAGAGAGAGAAAGAGAAAAGAGAAGAAAGAGAAGAAAAGAGAGAGAGAAGAGAAAAGAGAGAGAAGAAAAAAGAGAGAGAAAGAGAAAAGAGAGAGAAGAGAAAGAGAAGAGAGAGAAGGAGAAGAAAGAAGAGAAAGAGAAAAGAGAAAAGAGAGAGAGAGAAAGAATTGAAGAAGAAAGAAAAGAGAGAGAAGAGAGAGAGAAAGAAGAAGAAAGAGAGAGAAAGAGAGAAAAGAGAGAAGAGAGAAAGAGAAGAAAGAGAAAGAAAAAAAGAAGAAGAAGAGAGAGAGAGAAGAGAAAGAAAAGAGAAGAGAGAGAGAAGAGAAAAGAAAAGAAGAAAGAAGAGAGAAGAGAAGAGAAAAGAGAAAGAGAAAGAAGAGAAGAGAGAAAAGAAGAAAGAGAGAGAGAAAGAAAGAAAGAAAGAAAGAGAAAGAGAGAAAAGAAAGAAAGAAGAAAAAAAAGAAAAGAAGAGAAAAGAGAGAAGAAAAAAGAAAAAAAGAAGAGAGAGAGAGAAAAGAGAGAAAAGAGAGAGAGAGAAAGAGAAAAGAGAAGAGAGAAGAAGAAGAGAGAAGAGAAGAAAGAAAAAGAGAAAGAGAGAGAGAGAAAAGAGAAGAAGAAAAAAGAAAGAAAGAAAAGAAAGAAGAGAGAGAGAAAGAGAAGAGAAGAAAAAGAAGAGAGAAGAAGAAAGAAGAAGAATTGAAAGAAGAGAGAGAAAGAAAGAAGAAAGAGAAGAAGAGAAGAGAAGAGAAAAAGAAGAGAGAGAAAATGAGAGAGAAAGAGAAAGAGAGAAGGAAAGAAAAGAGAGAAGAAAGAGAAAGAAAGAAAAGAGAAAAGAGAGAGAGAAAAGAAGAGAGAGAGAGAGAAAAGAGAGAGAGAAAAGAAGAGAAAAAAGAGAGAGAGAAGAGAGAAGAGAGAAGAGAAAGAGAGAAGAAAAGAGAAGAGAAGAGAAGAGAGAGAGAAAGAAGAGAGAGAAGAAAGAGAGAGAGAGAAGAAAGAGAAAAAGAGAGAAAGAGAAGAAGAAAGAGAAGAGAAGAAAGAAAAGAGAGAGAGAAGAAGAGAGAGAGAGAGAAGAGAGAGAAAAGAGAGAAGAAAAAAGAGAGAGAGAAGAGAGAGAGAAAAGAGAAGAAGAGAGAGAAGAGAGAAAAAAGAAGAGAAGAGAGAGAAAGAGAGAAAAAGAAGAGAGAGAGAAAGAGAGAGAGAGAAAAGAGAGAGAGAGAAAAAGAGTGAAGAAAGAGAAAAAGAGAGAGAGAAGAGAGAAAAGAGAGAGAGAAGAAAGAGAAAAAGAGAGAAGAAGAGAGAGAGAAGAGAGAGAAAAAGAAGAAGAGAGAGAGAGAGAGAAAAGAGAGAGAAGAGAAAAAGAAAAGAGAGAAGAGAGAAAAGAAGAAAAGAAAAGAGAGAAAAGAGAGAAAAAAGAAAGAAAAGAGAGAGAGAAGAAAAAAAGAAGAAGAGAAGAGAGAAGAGAGAGAAAGAGAAAGAGAAAAAAAGAGAAAAAAAAAGAAAGAGAAAGAGAAAGAAAAGAAGAAAAGAAGAGAGAAGAAGAGAAGAGAGAAAGAGAAAAAAAAAAAAAGAGAGAAAAAAAAAGAGAAGAAAGAAAAGAAAAGAGAGAGAAGAGAAAAAGAAGAGAGAGAGAGAAAAAAGAGAAGAAAAAGAGAAAGAGAGAGAAAAGAAAAGAAAAAGAAAAGAAGAAGAAAAAAAAAAGAAGAAGAAAAGAGAAAAAAGAAAGAAGAGAAAAAGAGAGAAGAGAAGAAAGAGAGAAGAAAAGAGAAGAAAGAAAGAGAGAAAGAGAGAGAGAGAGAAGAAAGAAAAAGAGAGAAAGAAAGAAAGAGAAGAAAGAAAAAAGAGAAAGAGAAAAAAGAGAGAGAGAAAGAAAAAGAAAAGAGAAGAAAGAAGAAGAGAAAAGAGAGAAGGAAAAAAAAAAAAAAGAGAGAAAGAAGAGAAAAAGAGAGAAAGAAAAGAGAGAGAGAAAAAAGAAAGAAGAGAAGAGAGAAAAAAGAAAAAAGAAAGAAAGAGAAAAGAGAAAGAAAGAAGAAGAGAAAGAGAAGAAAAGAAAGAAAAAAGAGAAAAAAAAAAAAAAAAAGAAAGAAAAAAAAAAGAAAAAGAGAGAGAAAAGAAGAAAGAAAGAGAAAAAAGAAAAGAGAAGAGAGAAGAAAAAAAAAAGAGAAAGAAAAGAGAGAAAGAGAAAAGAAAAAAAAAAAGAAAAAGAGAGAAAGAAAAAAGAGAGAGAGAGAGAAAAAAAAAAAAAGAAGAAGAGAAAAAAAAGAGAAAGAAGGAGAGAGAAGAAAAAAAAGAGAGAGAAAAAAAAAAAGAAAGAAAGAGAGAGAGAAAAAGAAAAAAAAGAAAGAGAAAAAAAAAAAGAAGAGAAAAAGAGAAGAGAAAAAGAGAGAGAGAAAAAAAGAGAGAAGAAAGAGAAAAAAAAGAAGAAAGAAAAAGAAAAGAGAGAAGAAGAGAAGAAGAGAGAAAAAAAGAGAAAAAAAAAAGAGAAAAAAGAGAAAGAAGAAGAAAAAAAAAAAGAGAAGAAAGAGAAAAGAAAAAGAAGAGAGAAAAGAAAAAGAGAAAAGAAAAGAAGAGAAAAGAGAAAAAAAAAAAAAAAGAAAAGAAAGAGAGAGAAGAAAAAAAGAGAGAAAAAAGAAAAAAAAAAAGAGAAGAGAAAAAAAGAAAAAAAAAAAAAGAAAGAAAGAGAGAAAAAAGAAAAAAAAAAAGAAAGAAAAAAAGAAAGAAGAGAAGAGAAGAGAAAAAAGAAAAAGAGAAGAGAAGAAAGAGAAAAAAAAAAAAGAAAAAGAGAAGAAAAGAAAGAAAAAAAAAAAAAAAAAAAAGAAAGAAAGAAAGAAAGAGAAAGAAAAAGAGAAAGAAGAAGAAAGAAAAGAAGAGAAAAAAGAGAAGAAGAGAAGAAGAGAGAAGAGAAAAGAAGAAAAAGAGAAAGAAAAAAGAAAAGAAAGAAAAAAGAGAGAAAGAGAAAAGAAAAAAAAAAAGAGAGAGAAAAAAGAAAGAGAAAAGAGAAAAAAAAAAAAGAAAAGAAAGAAGAGAGAAGAGAAAAGAAAAGAAAAAGAAAAAAAAAGAGAGAAGAAAAGAGAAAGAAGAAAAAGAGAGAGAGAAAAAAGAAAGAAAGAAAAAGAG